TAACCTCTCTTCCTTATCGTTGTCATAGATCGGTGTAACCCAGTTAGGCGTCTCCCGTTCGAAACAGATACGGTTGGAAGTATGCGGATCTTCGCATATCTAAGACAGTATCTGTTTTAGATTGTCCACTTTTTTGGACAGCCCACGGATGCGTAGATGGGGTAGTTTCCATGTTCTGCTTCGATCCGAGACAGAGTTTCGGCACCACCTCCTTGTTGTTCTCCGGATACACACTCTCCCTTCCAGGACGTGTATCGGGAGAACAGCGGGGAGGTGCTGCCGAAATTCTATCTCGGATCGGAGTAGAGCATGTAAACTAACCTCATCTACGCATCCACGGGTGGGATTAGTACCTATCCTCACCCATTAGACAGTAGGCACGCCGTTCAGATGCAATTGGTGGTTATATTACTTGCTCATGTATATGCTAGAGGATGGATAGCCGTGAGTGGATGTACACGGGCCGCCCAAGTCAGGCTGAAATCACCCCTGAATGGATGGACAAGACCGAGGGTTTCTTGAACCAAGCATTTGGCAAGACAGCTAATGGAGCGAGAGACACATTCTGTCCCTGTAGCGAATGCGGAAACAGGAAAAGAAAAACAAGGAAGATCATGGGGGAACATCTTTGCAAGTATGGATTTACGCCAAACTATACCCAATGGATGTTCCATGGTGAAGCCCATCGTACTAGAGAGGAGGTGGTGAGACCACGCTTGGAGGCATTTGATGCTGATGGCGGGGTAGCAGGATGGTTAGGTGACTTTCATGAAGCAACGTTCACTGAAAGACCTGCGGAGGAGGAGGAGGAGGAGAAGGAGGATGAGGAGGAGGAGCCAGAGCCAACCGGAAAGGCGTTCTACCAAATGTTGTCTTCGGCATAGAAGCTCCTACATGAGAAGGCAACGGTTTCTCAACTGGATGCCATTGGACGCCTAATGGGGTTGAAGTCCCAGTACAACATGAGTCGAGCCTGCTTCGATGGTATGTTGGCAGTTATTGGTGGGCTGCTTTCGGAGGGTCATATTCTGCCGAGCAGCTTCTACGAGTCACAGAGACTCCTTCGTGCACTTAAGATGCCGTATGAGCAGATACATTGTTGTCCGAAGGGGTGCGTCCTATTTAGGAAAGATCACAAGGATACAAAGTACTGTCCAAAGTGTAAATCCTCTAGGTATGTGGAGGTAGACAAATGTGATGGCTAGAAGGAGCAGCTTGAGATCCCCATGAAAGTCCTACGGCACCTTCCGATTATACCGAGGCTCCAACGGCTATTCATGACTGAGGAGTCCGCGAAACAGATGACATGACACAAGAATGGCACCCGAGGGCGATAAGTAAGTAACTTCATATGTTCTTCATTTGATATGTTGAAAAATCATAATAACAACTAATAACTATTATGGACCACTTGTGTAGGAACTGGGTGCTTGTGGACCAGGCGGCCCCAGCACGCAATGTGAATGGCATCCTGGGACTTCTGTGTAAGGAACACTTCCCTGGCCTGGTTAGGAAAGGAGATCAGGATTGGGAGCTGGCCTGGACGTTCTACCACTATGCCCTCGTGGAGGATGCTCCAGATCATAATGGCATCCGCTGTAGAAACAAGGCAGATCGGGTGATTAGGGAGTTGTGGGTAAGTCTTTCTTGCACTACATTCCTTAATTCCTCGCATTCATTGGACATTCTTGAAATAAAATAATGGATACCTCGTGTCTTTATGCAGGACTTCTTCAGAATCTTGGAGGGACAGGAGGAAAGTGCGTATCAGGTGGCTTACGCTTCCTATAAAAGGTGTGTCACGGACTTGCACTACGAGTCCCGCCTCCAGGCCCACATAGACTACAACGCCAAGTTCCTACTCACGCGTGTCAACAAAGAGGAGGCAAGACGGATGACGTTGACAAGGGAGCAGTACATACAGGTAAATACAAAACATGAATATTCATTTCTTTTGAGATTAAATATGCCTAATTTGATCTTCTGATATGTCATCTACTTGATGTCCTGTAGGCGATTCCAAGCTGGTGCGCCACCCACCTTGATTGCTGGGAATATATTATGGACACCTGGTTGGACGGGGACTGGCAGAAGAAGCCCGAGGAGGCCCGCGACAGGCGTTTGCAGATGCCAGGTGTACCTCACCATCAGGGCAGCCGCAGCCTCAGTAAATATGTAAAGGCATATGTAAGTCTCCGCCATTGCTCTAATCTAGCCGCGCTCAATTCTGCATCATTTCTAACCACATGTTGTTGTCTTTCTCGTAGTCGGATGCACACGGTGGCCAGCCAGTTGGTCAACTCAAGGCATATGCTCTGGCTCACATGGGCAAGGCGACGGCCGACATCGAGTACGACCCAGATGCCGCGCTTGAGGCGTACACCAACTTCAGCATCCACACCCACCTCTCTTCATACATGGAGGCAGAAAGGTCAGTCCATGGGCCGGGCTACGATCCGAGAACCGACGAGCGCCTTGATCCTCAGCTCATGATGAGGGTGGGGCAAGGCAAGAAGCATGGGCGGTTCTAGATTGGCGACGGCATCCTCGACACGGCCTCTACTCCTCCTCTCCACCAGCTCCGAGCAGCGAGCACAAGCTCAAGCATGCCCATACGCCAACGGGCGACCGCGGTGTCGGCACTCTAGGTAAGCATTCCTGTTTCATTCGTTGTTCTTTGACTTTTACATACCTTACCTATGCATTATTGAAATATTGGGGTCAAATGCTGTAGGCCCAAGTGCAGGAACTACAGGCCAAGCGGGAGGCCGAGCGATAGAGGCTACAAGCTTTGGAGGCCTAGCGGGAGCAAGATCAGCGGCAGATGGCCGAGATGATCAAGTTCACGCAGCAAATTGGCCAGCAACAAGGTTGGGCGATCCCACAGACGCTGCTTGCTCCAGATCCACCTCCACAACGTCCTGATTCTACCCGGTGAATATAAGTATGAAGTTTTACTTTCTATGCTGAAACTTAGAGAAACCTAGTGAAACCTAGAGAAACCTAGTGGTGGTGGTGGTGTGGTGGTCATGGTGGTGTGGTGGTGGTGGTGGTGGTGGTCATGGTGTTGTGGTGCTCATGGTGGTGGTGGTGGTCATGGTGGTGATGTGGTGGTGGTGGTGGTGAAGTGTTGGTGGTGAAGTGTTGGTGATGGCGGTGATGTGGTGGTGGTGGTGGTGGTGGTAGTGGCGGATATTTATCTCTTCTCTTGTCGCTCACGTGCAATCTCTTCTATTTTGTGCAGCATCAATCGGGGGCGGCGTCGAACCACCTCGGAGGGTCGCCGGGATCGCACGTTAGGCCATCTCAACCCGGACCGTCGCCGCGAGCTTCAAATGGTAGCCGTTGTGATATAATGCACTTGTGAACTTTGTGAACTATGCTTGTGTGTTTGGACTTTGGACTTGGGAGTCGAGATTGTGATACTTGTATGCTATGTTTGTGTTTGTGGTGGATTGTGATATACATTTGTATTATATATATATTTGTGTGATATATAGTTGTGTTATATATATATATATATATATATATATATATATATATATATATATATATATATATATATATATGATGTATATCTTGTTTGCAATGATGGAAGACTAAAACCATTTTTTTTTTGATTTTTTTCACTTCTTTGACTCGGCAAAGCTGAGAATCTAGGACACTAAGCTTCCCAGCTTTGCCGAGTGTCATGGTCAAGGCACTCGACAAAGAAAATTAAAAAAAAAACTGCTTTGCCGAGTGCCTACCTACAACACTCGGCAAAGAAAATCCAAAAAAAAAAAAAAGCTTTTTAGAAAGTGCGATGCGGGCACTCGGCAAAGCATTTAAAAAAATAAAAACACATTTTTTGCCGAGTGCCGACGCGTGGCACTTTCGGCAAAGGGGCCATCATCCGTGACCTGGCCGTCACGGCGGCTTTTCTTTGTCGAGTGCCGTCGTGGCACTCGAAAAAATCCTTTGCCGAAAAGTGCGGAGCATGCAAGACTTTCGGCAAAAAGCCTTTTCTTGAAGTGAAGAGATATCTTTGTGACTCTTTGCCGAAAAGACTTGGCAAAGACTTTGCCGAGTGCAAAGCCTTCTTTGTCGAGTGCAATTGTACTCGGCAAAGCACGCGTATGCTGTAGTGAGCTGGGCTTAGCTGGGTTGAAGTAGCTAGGCTCAACTAAACTTTAGCTGGACCATTTGGATCCCTAGCAATTAAATTTAGCTAGCTAAAATTTAGTCGGTTGATTCAGGCCCATTGTCTATGAATCCTAGTTTTATGCTCACAGTGAAGCTTCTATTATTCACTTAGGGTCTGTTTAGATCCACACTAGCTAAAATTTAGCTAGGTAATTGTTAGAGCTAAAATTTAGCCAGCTAAAGATTAGCTAGCTAAACTTTAGTTAGAGGTGTTTCGATCTATATACATAAAAAAAAATTATGAATCTAGAAAAAACAGACCGACTTACCATTTAGAATAGAGGGGGTAGAATGGGCATACAAGTAACAAGCCTACTCTTTCCCTTGCTTGTTTCGTTATTTAACTCACACACGGCGGCGAAGCGTCAAGACACAGCTCACAGAGCCGGAACACACACACGTCTTCTGCTTGGCCTTCACTCTTGGCCTGTTACGCGGACGTTGGGCCGAGTCACTACAGAGAGCGTCGCTGATTGAAACACCAAGCGACGCAACTCACAAGTGAAGCAGACATGTGGCCCCATAGGACGGGTGACTCGGCCCAACGCCCGCGTAAACAGGCCAAGACTGGGTGAAGCCCAAGCAGAAGACGTGTGTGTGTTCACCTCGCCGCCGGCCACTTGGGTTGGGCTCGGGCACTCGGCCTTACCCCGACCTGACTGGGTTGGACCCGATCACTCAATCGCCTGGGTCTGAACTCTGAAGTCCGAACCGGACAAGATATTTCGCATCCCCTATCTCCAACACCGCAGCCGCTCGCTCCCCTCCTCTTCTGGTCCTCGAGCGACAGAGGGAGAGAGAGGCGAGTAGTGCCGATGGCGGGCGCTGGCTGCCACTCGCTCCTCTCGCCGGCCTCAGCAATCTCGCCTGCGCTCTTCTCGCGACACCGAGCGGCCGCCGTAGGTGGAGGAGCCTGCCGGGCGAGTAAATGTGTTCTCTCTTCCTTCTTTCTCTACTGTGCTCGCTCTGCTCAAGATTGGTCGGCAAAATTGCAGGATTCGGCATTGCTCCCCTGCTATCGCCCTGTTTGCTTGACTTGTACTTTTTCAGCTAACGAACAGTATTTTTCCCTCACAATAAATCAACCGTACTTTCAGCCAGCAAACAGGGCTTATCTTCTGTGGTAGATATAGTATAGAACAAAATATGCCTAGTTTTGCTGCTTGTTTTTAGCGTTAGTGGAGAAATGTAACAGTGCTGGTTTTGATGTTGAGGCTAAAATAACTCTCAGTTCTTGGCATGCTTTGGATTCAGTGCAATCGCAGATCAGGTGTCTTGCCAAAGATGAGGATTCAAAAGGATGCACGGAAACTTCCAAGGGCAAGATGGTAAGTGTTGCCTTCTCGTGTCCAGAAAGTTTGCTAAACATGTGCCCAACTTCAGTAGCCTGTATACAACATTAGCAACGTCAAGACAAGTCCTACCTTTCTCAGTGCTTTCTCTTCCAACTCTACAATCAGAGTTAAGGGACGGATAAGAATAGAGAGCATGCATGATCTCATATTATGTGTAGTAGTATATGGTAGCCAAGTTCTTTACTATAAAAGTATATTTAGAATCTGGATATATTTGATTCTAGTCATTGTTTTTTTTGTGTGTTTTATTAAAAGAACAAACTGAAGAAGCGTTTGCAGAGTTGTTCAATTGAAACTATCAAACATCCCAAATATTACTGGTGTCCTTATTATGTTGTTTGAGCGTTGTGAGTGTGACCTTTGCAACAATAATCCTGTCATTAAGAAATAGATATAATTCTAATTGCTCCAGAGGTGGTCTTCATGATCCTCAATATGCATCTCTGTTATTTTATTTAGCATTATTTTTCATCAGCATTTCACTTCCCTTTCGTGGCAAGTGTTCTGATGTACCATCTACTATTATACAGGATGAAGAAGCTACACCTTCATCAAGACGAAAATGTCTAGTCTGTCTCAGTGCTGTTACCTTAATCAGCACAACAGGACCAACAATGTTTACACCAAACGGACTTGCTGCAGATATGGTGAACAAGCCCGGGATACAGAAAGCTGTTTGCAGAAACTGTAATGGTAGTGGTGCTGTGATATGTAAGGGTCTCGCGGCACTTGTTCACTTTGTCTGTTGCTTGTTGATGTTGAATGACTTCATCAGTTCCAAACTCCTAGTCCTGCCAATAGGGCATCTACCTTCAATAGGAAATGGAAACTATAGAACCAACAATTTTGTTCATTGGAATAGCTAACAACTTTCAGTATGCCATTTATATATGCTAATAAATATAGTGAGTCATGCTTTGCACTTCTCATTTCACTGCAAGTACCTACCTCAACTGATTAGCTAATGTCTACTAAGAATCAACTTCTCATTTCACTTCAAGTACCTACCTCAATTGATTAGCTAATGTCTACTAAGAAACAACAGCAGTTCTAGTTTTGAGTGGCTAACCGGAACACTATAATTGGCACAAATGAACTGATGAAATTGTACATGCTGATCCAATTTATTATGTAGTAAATACAGCTTTTTAGTACTTGTATGGAGTATAGTTTCATGTCAGGACCTCCAGTCTTGGCAAAACTACAAACTTGTTACTCCTTGTTCTTGGAGTGATAGTTCGATTTCATCTATATTCAGGTGACATGTGTGGTGGTACAGGGAAATGGAAAGCCCTCAATCGAAAGAGGGCAAAAGATGTTTATGAATTCACAGAATGCCCAAATTGCTACGGTATGTTCTTTGAATCATTTCTGCCTTTCTAGTGTATATGCAACATGCAGTTTCAGATGCATGTCCTCATCCGTAGGAACTAACATTTTTACTTTTTTTATATTTATAAAAGCACTACATATGGTTCATGTTTGTTTGAACATTTCAATAATTATGTCCATTTTTAAGTTGTCAAGAATTAATCATGCTACGTATGTCATTAGGCCGTGGGAAGTTGGTATGCCCTGTCTGTCTTGGAACTGGCCTGCCAAACAACAAGGGACTCCTCCGACGCCCAGAAGCCAAGCAGCTGCTTGACAAGATGTACAACGGCAAGATACTGCCAAGGTCGTAGCTCACTCTTCAGTCTTCACCAAGCCCAGGATTTTGTTGAATCATCGAGTAGGAATGACATTTGAATCAATGTAGCCCTAGTAGAGTGTAAAATTTTTTGTTAGCCGTTCGACAAAGATTACACACATATGTAATGACCTTTTCTAAGCTATATAAACTAGAAAGTCAAAGCAAGATTGATGTGGTCGTCGGTCCAACAGTCAAAAACTAAACCCAAAAACTAATGGCCTACTCACACATCATCAGAAGAAATGAATCGATGCTAGAAGTGTTGGACGTCGGGATGCACAGAGTGAAAAACTAAACCCAAAAACTAATGGCCTACTCACACATCATCAGAAGAAATGAATCTATGCTAGAAGTGTTGGACATCGGGATGCACAGACCGTACGAGACGACGGTGAATGCATGATAACTTATTCCAAGATCGCTGTCGGCAACGTACAGCGCTGCATGTGCTACGGGAAGAAGCACATCAGAGACTCTAATTTGTTGCCTTTCAAGACGCAAAACAACTACGGTGATAAACTGATAATAATAAAGATGAACAACGGAAAACAAACTACATCGAACAGAAGGAAGAGATCGATCGATCCGGTCCGGGGCCTCAGAGACAATTTGGCAAATGTGATGCATCAGAAAATCAGATGGTACGGACAATAGATCTCCAATCATCGGCCCCAAAACAACAGACCGAAAACTTTCATCAGAAAAATAAACAACAGAGCGAGCGCGCATTTAGAGTCATCCACAAGGGAGACGATGGCTTTGGCTTCTCTCACCCTAACCCTATGGACCTGTCTTTGAGCATGATGGAGCGGCGGATTATGGAACGGCAGTCTGCAGGTGAGGGGCACGGCGGCGGCTTAAATAGTGAGTACTGTCTGTGAAACCCTAGCTACACGCCTACACAATCCTGTTGGGCTTTCATTTAGGCCTGTGATCTCTGAGTGTGGGCTTGTACGAGAACGGAGATTATGGCATCCTCCGGCCCAGAACGAAGCCCAGCCAGCACAGAACGAAGCCCAAGCGCCCAGTTTTTTACCTACATTTACCTCCAACTTCCAAGAACCTCATAGGGTAGTCGGAAACGATTGAACGCCACCGTCATGGTCAGCTTTTTTTTTATAACTCCTTGAAATGAATATATTAAAACAAATGACCAATTACATCAAAACCCTCGAGAGAGAACCGAATTATAACTAGCACTACGGTGCCATGGAGACGGAAGGACCTCACTAGTCCGAAGGTAGTAGAAGGCCGACAAACCGTCGATGCAAACCATCTCCGACAAACCAAAAGATATAATGAAGCTGTCGACAGAGTTTAAATAAGCAGCTTCCAGCAAGCCCATTGTGGCCAGCTTGCTTCGCAGAAAGCGGCAACAAAAAGAGATGACGACGACGCTGGTCTGCCTATCTATTCGGCTACCATAGCATCAAATCGACAAAAAAATCCCCAACCGAAAATGCAAAACTTTTGAGGCACTAGGAACCACTGGCCGAACCACATGAACATGGTAGGAGATTTTATTGGACTTGCCACAGTCGACAACGACGAGACGGCAACTGAACTACCAGCAGCAGGATCTACTCCTTCCTCAACTTGGGCTTGGGGTCTTTGAGCGGGTGTGCCCAACCCCACTGAACGGCCGCAACGGCAACAAACGACGCAGCGGATCACCGATACCGGACCGGCGTCTCCAGGCCTGTCCGCTGCCGCTATAAGCCGCAGCGGGGCAGCGGCTGCATCTGCAGTAGGCTGTAGTCATCGTCTACAGTATTTGCAGCAGTATATTTGATCGCTGTCGAACAAAGGCAAGCATAATACTACCATAAAAAAAAGAGTGACAGATTCCAAGTGGCACGACACAGGGATGTGCTTGGACCGTTACTAGAAGTCTAGATCAATTGAAGTCCAAAAGCAACGAAAACACAACAACCGAGCATATATGGACACTAAAACGCTTCACACTGACACAATAATGTCCCATTTTTAATCACGCAACAAGGGAACCAACCCCTTCAGCATCAGCAAAGATCAACACTGACTCATTTGTGCCAGCACCAGAACTGGGAGCAAGGAACACTAGCGCGATGCATAACAGATGTTTTTAAACCCCCATGATATGCAGAGTTTTTGTGTTTAAGGACATGGAAAAAAAAACTGGGTGAGTAAAACATGGCTTGCTATGGCATTCATGGCCTGACCACGTAAAATTTTGAAATCCAACTTCATGCCAAATAGTCTCTTTAGATCCCAAAACCAAACACTCCACGTATCCGCTGGAATATGAGTTCTCTCCAGCCTCTCTCTGTGTTCTCTACCACAGTTGAATTCCCATACCTGCAATTGCTTAAAGGCAAACAGATTATGAGTACAAGAGACGAGCATCAACAAATTTGATGTTCAAAGCATAGGATTATCAACATACTTGTCTTCCTCTGGCACATCAGTTTGTTTGAGCTTTATGATTGTAACTCCAGACTCGGGCTCATCAAACGTCAACCGGACCTGCATTTCGAGTTTCAACAGCACGGTGAGAAGACAAACATACTAATATGTAGTAACATGGCTAAAATAATCCAGATGGTATGCACAGGCATGATCATAATTATAGACGCCTTGTGCCCATAAGCATCTACTATATCATATCTCAAGCGAAATCCTGCATTCCTACAGCAATAGCCATAGAGCAGCATTGGAAAGGAGAAGAAAAAAATTAGATGGCTAAGTATCTAAATCCACAAGCTAATCACAGCAAGTCTACACACGCATTCCAAATAAGATGAGCCCACAACCCCACGCATACATTATGCATTGCTCAGAAGTGTTGCATACCCACTGCACAAATTCAAAACTCATCTGCTAAAATACTGTTGAAATCAAGATAACAATTACATGACCCTATACAAACAGGACACGCCAGACAGTAATATTGCATACTCACTAAAGACAATTCACCAAACTGTTGTGAACTTGTGATTGATTACTGATGAACTCAAAATATTGCACATTGCATGATTCCACATAGTACACGTTGACGGTGCGCTTGGCAACTAGAGTACATGCTCAGTACAAAGTGAGAAAATTCAGAAACCTTCAGTGCTCAATTAGAGAGACCTAATTGTTTTAATAATCGACACATTAGATGGTCTTTCCCTGGACAGTGCTATGTGCGCATTTAAATGGTAGGAGTACTCCCTCCATTCCAAATTATGTTTCCTTTGGCTTTATCCTAAGTCAAACTTTCCTAACTTTGACCAATTTTTTTGAAAAAATGTATTAACTTTTAAAAGTTCAGATAAATGCACTATCAAAAAAAAAAATCATAAAGGATTTAGTGAAACTAATTTAATGTTTGTAGATGCTAATGCATTTTTCTATAAACTTGGCCAAAGTTAGAGGAAATTGACTTAGGATAGAGCTAAAGCGAACTATAATATGGAGTGGATGGAGTAATTCATTGGAGAGAGCTACATGAACATTAATTGATTAGCATGAATCCTTAGTTTGATGTTTGAATTTGAGATCAGAATGGGTAGAAACAACAACAGTGCTCATCAAACTTGTATTTTCTTAAACAGTCTTATTAATCGTCAGTCGTATTATTAATCATTAAGAGTTATTCATCGTATCTTCCCCCTCACTAACTTTCGGCATCCAAATTTGTGTACCTAGATTAGTGAGCATACAAGAGCAATAGCACAACAATTTCTGTACCTAGATTACTGAGCATACAAGAGCAATAGCAAAATGATTAGCTGCCATAGGTACCCAGCCATGGCATGAGGATCTTACCGAGGAGTGCAAGCCGTCAGGCCAGCTTCCAAACCGCCACTTCTGTGCAATCAGTTTCCCTTCTTGCAGCTCCTCGTTGACGCCAGTGATGGACCCATCAAAGAGGCTAAATTCGCCTCCAACCTCTCTGCTGATCCTCGCATTGCTCTGTGTAAACCCTTTCCATCTGTTCTCATCCATCAAGATCTCATATATGTCCTTTGAGCGGCAGTAGAACTTCTCCGTCATCTCAATGGTCTTGAAGCCATCCTTGTCCTTCCCCTTGGCCTTTTTCTTCTCTGCAGCCGGCGCAGGAGCCACCACCTCCTCCTTCGCTGGGGCGGCGCCAGGCGCCGCAGCGGCGACCTTCGCGGGAGTTTTCTTGGACTCCAGCTCGTCCTTGGCCGGTCCCCCCTTGGCCATGGCAGCGACGAACTCCTGGATCTTCTCGAGCACCAGGGGTTTGCCGCGGGCGAGGAAGGCGTCCTTGGCGCGGAGCGCGAGGGGCGTCTCGTCGCCGCGCACGGTGATGCGGAGCTCGGGGTCCTCATCGGCGTTCTCGTCGGCGAGGTAGGGGACCTCAGCGGCGCCGGCGACCTTCACGGCCCCGGACTCCGAGGCGGCCTCGGCCTCCCAGGAGAGGGTGAGCGAGAGCTCGTACCCCGGGATGACCTTGCCCTTGCGGATGTTGACGTAGGCCTCGCCGTCGAGCTTGTCGAGCGCGACGGTGCGGAGCGTGAGGCCGCCCTCGCCGTCGAGGACGGTGAGGCCCGCGAGCAGGGAGGAGAGCCGCGCGCGGGACCACTCCAGGCAGTCGCGCTCCGCCCAGTGCCAGTTGTGGACGTTGGTGCCGTCGGCGCGCTCCTCCACGATCCACCGCTTGTCACCCTCGCCGTACTTCGCCATGGGTGCGCGGTGGTGTTGCGGGGAGGGGGAGGGGGAGGCGGGGTTAGGGTTTGGACGGGCTCGGATTCGTTTGGATCTGCGCGTGGTTTCGTGGTGTGGGGGGTGTGGAATGGATGACAGGAGATGAGAGTTTCTTTAGAGCAGGAGGCGGCTGCTTCTGGATGGTTCGGTGGTGGATCGGAATACTCTCGAAGTTCAGGGGCAAACAAGGGGAAGGAGTCTGGTAGCTTCTGTTCTACCGGTGGAACTCTAGAAAGCCTGCTATTGGGGAAGCTAGAGATTTTTCAAAAGCCGCTGGTATTTTCTTCCTTTTCA